TGCCAGTATAGCCTCATTCGCTTCCTGCCTACAATTAGTTAGATCACATTGCTCAATATCTTGTTGGTCACATAAAAATTCAGTAAATTCATCAACAGTGGGTCCCTTTTGGGTGGTCCCAAAAAGTAAATTAGCGGGAGATTTACTGGTTGAGCTGTGTACCGTGTTATTAATGGCAAATTCAATCGTACTTAGCTTTGAAACCCAATCGGCATGTTGAATTGGCTCACTTAGTTTACTAAGCATAGGAGTCAAAACTCTGTTTACTCTTTCAACCTGACCGTTTGCTTGTGGTGACCCAGTGGCAACTTTAACATGATCTATATTATTTTTAACTAGAAATTCAGTAAACTCAAGTGATGTAAAACAGGTTCCCCTATCCGATATTATCCTAGATGGTCGACTATAATATTGAAAATATTTCTTTAAAGACTCGACGACCTCTTTAGTACTAGTTGAGTTAACTGGGTACAGTTTTACATACTTGGTGAAAGCATCAATTATCACTAGCAAAAATTTTCGTTTTGACTTTAAAGCAGGAAGAGGTCCTAGGTGGTCGATATGAATAGTATCGAAAGGTATTGGCTTCTTGGGAATACTATGAATATTCCTTTCGTTGACTCGAGCAGGTGCTGAATATACAATGCATTTTAAACAATTCTTTATAAATGTATCAATTTTGGACCTCATTTCCGGAAACCAATAGTGTAGTTTTATTTGATTAAGAGTTTTATCTACCCCAAAATGAGCAATCTTCTCATGTATGCAACGAATAATATTATCCTCCATCTCTCGGGGAACATAAAAATATAGCTGACCTCTCATATCTTTTCTATAAACTAGCCCGTTTTTGAGGTCGAAGAGTTTCGATGGCTCTTTTTCCAATCTATCCCGTATTTTAACTATATCAGGGTCTCGACTTTGAGTTGCCTGCAACTGAAACTCTAAATCGTCTTCGTTAACAGCAAAAACTACCTCGCTGCGACTGAGAGCGTCAACGTGACCCATGTTAGCCCCACCTCTATGTTGCACAGAATAATCATAGTTCTGTAATTCGAGCGCCCATCTCGCAATACGTGGGTTAAGCGTCTTTTTGCTTAAAGTAAGCGTAAGTGAATTACAATCCGTGATAATCTTAAAAGGGATTCCCTCAAGATAAACTCTAAAACGTCGCAAAGCGTAAATGATAGCTAACGTTTCTAGTTCAAAACTGTGATATTTGCTCTCAGTATTGGTGGTTCGCTGTGAGAAGTAAAAAATTGGATGAAACTTTCCGTCTGATTGACGCTGTAACAAAATAGCACCATAACCCTGAGCACTTGCGTCGCAATGCAATTCGGTCTCATTTTTGGGATTATATATTGACAAAACTGGAGGATCGATGAGCCTCGCTTTTAATTCAGCAATCGCATTCAAACAGGCTTTGTCAAGCTCAAATTTAGAATTTTTCTTCAACAAATCATACAATGGTTTAGCAATTTTTGAAAACTGTGGAACAAATTTCCTAAAATAGGAACATAGGCCAATAAATGAATGCAATTGTTTTAAAGTTTTCGGTAATGGAAATTTCGCGACAGTTTGCTTGTGTTCCTGACTTGGATTAATACCCTCATAACTAACATCATAACCTAAGTACTGAATGCTGCTATGGCAAAATTTACATTTTGACAATTTAAGTTCAAGACCATGTTTGGCTATCTGCTTCAGTACCGATTCCAATAAAGCTAAATGTTCATCTAAATCCACTGTGGCTAGCAATATGTCATCCATATAAACTATTAGGAGGCCTTTTGAAATGAAATCTTTTAAAATAAAAGAAATAAATCTTTGAAATACGGAAGGGGCGTTTTTAAGACCGAAAGGCATCATTACATATTCAAACTGGCCACTTGGTGTAACAAATGCTGTATATTTTATTGATTCCTCAGTTACTTTTACTTGGTGAAACCCACTTTTTAAGTCTAATAATGTGAAATATTTGTTTCCACCTAAATACTCCAGACAATCTTCGATGAGAGGAAGAGGATAATTATCTCTAACAGTTATTTTATTCAGATCCCTGTAGTCAATCACATACGAGTTTCACCACTTTTCTTTTTAACTAACACTATTGGTGACGCATATGGGGAATCACTATGGCGAATAATACCTTTATCTAAAAGCTCTTGCACGATCTTCTGAACTTCAAATTTATCTTTATAAGAAAGTCTTCGAGGATGTGAATAAACTGGTTGTTCAGAAGTCAACTTAATGGACATTTCATAGGGTTTTACGCTTGACTCCTTTGGATATTCTAAATAACAATTACGAATAATACGATTTATTTTTAAGCGTGCGTCACTATGCAAAGCGGAATCAATATTATAATCACTAGCACTGCTATTACAAACGGCTTCCACATCAATCGCGCATGTAATATTCCCTTCAATAAAGGAAAAACAATCTTCTTTCCATTCATCACTAGAAATTTCACTATGCAATTCTTCAACAATACTGGCCCCAACGGCGCAATGAGCATTCTTTGAAAGAGAGTCCCCTAGCAATCTATCTGCGGGAATGCCTCCACAGTTATTGGCATCAACAATAGGAGTTATGGAATGATCAACAGGACAATCAATATAACAATGTTGCAAATTATCTGGAACCTGAACAATATTTTCAATTAAAGACACACTTGAATTCAACTCATTTAATTCCAACTTGAGCTCGTTACAATTTAACATATAAAGTTTAATATTAAATAATTTGAAAAAATCTCTTCCGAGAAGCAAAGGCTGAGATAATATCCATCCGAAACAATAAATAATGAAATTATTTTAGATTTGCCATTGAGCAAAATCTCACAATCAATTTTTCCAAAAGTTTTCAGTTTATTGCCACCTAGGCTGTAAAAATTGGATACAATCAATTCATCGCACTTGTATCAAAAGGCAAAAGCGTCTTGCTTATAAAACTGGCAGGACTACCACTGTCAATCAAAGAAATACACTTCGTAAACTTTTTATTGTTCATGTTCCGATTACAAAAAGCAATACTTACAGTTTGGTAGGGTTCAACATTCGACATAATATCCTCATGGGTTGCTTCCTCATCTACAGCGTTTACGGTTTTCTTTGGTGGCTGCTTGCATTGATTAAGCATGTGATCTTTGCTGCCGCATCGGAAGCAGGAGCCTTTGATACGCTTTGGTTCTGTGCACTGATGTGAGAGGTGTCCATATTGCGAGCAGTTGAAGCACCTTGTGGACGAGACTGTCTTACTGCCACCTTCTGAAGCCTGCACTTTTCGTGTTGTGTTGTCATTTGTTTTCTTTTTGTCATATTTAAGAAGAAGCTGCTGGAGCTCATCCAAGTTTTAGCTGTGTACAATATTGAAGTATAAGCGGTGTTGTCACGCAGACCCTCAATCACTGCATTGATTATTCATCTTCGTTTAAATTTGCCTGTGCTGCGATCTCCTTTATCGACAGCATATATGCAATAATACTTTACAAATACAAATTTATGGCATGCCAATGGGTAACCCATTATCCCCTACCATAGCGGACATCGTACTTGACAAAATATTGGACGACAGCATAGCTGAACTTAAACCACACGACATACATATAAAATACATAAATAAATATGTAGACGATATGTTTGCAATAATTAAAGCAAAAGACGCGGAAGACATACTAAAAATATTAAATGCACAACATACAAAAATACAATTTACAGTCGAAAGGGAAAAAAACAAGAAAATTGCCTTCCTAGATGTAGAAGTGCATAAAAAGGGAAACCGAATTCTGCTGAACTGGTATGCAAAATCCATTGCATCGGGGAGATTGATAAATTTTCATTCCAATCACCCATGGAAACAAAAAATAAACACCGCTGCCAGTCTTATTACAAAAGTCCATCTGCTCAGCGACGAAGAATTTACAGAGCAAAACAACAAGAAAATAAAAAACATATTGTACAAAAACAGCTACCCGCACGCGTTAATAGAAAGATTATTACAAACAACAATAAACCAAATTCACCAACCGAGCCAAAACACCGAAGTACAGCCAAACAACACTAACAAAAAATACATTGGGGTGACATACATACCAGGACTTACAAATAACCAAGTACTCCGAAAAACAATAAAAAAATGAGAATGTGATATATGCACACAAGCCCCATAACACAATCAACAAATTGTTGACGAAAACCAAAGACAAGATTGAAAAGGAGCAACAACACAATGTAGTGTACCAAATAAAGTGCAAGGGCAATGATAACGAAAGCTGCAATAAATGCTACGTAGGCACAACAAAAAGAGCGTTGGGTATAAGAATCAATGAACACAGAGCGGACGCGAGAAACAAAAAGATGACAACAGCACTGGCTCAACACTTAAAAACGCACGAACATATAGGGAACTTCGGCAACACAGAAATTTTGGACATCGAAAGAGGAGAAAGAAGGAGAATGACACTGGAGAGCCTACGAATACAACAACAATTGGACAACGGAATCAACTTTAAGGAAGACGTCTACAACACGAAGAACACATATGCAGCCGTACTAAAATTAAAATATAAATAAGAACACTTCAATAATTCTTCCTAAATGTTGTACTACCGTCAATGTGTGCAAATTAATGTAAAATTCTTGTCAATATTTAGTGTGAGTTTCAAGTGATATTATGTGTGTAGATAATTAGTGTTAAGTATACATGTACATATGTAACTATTGTTGTGTATATATGTATGTATGTATGCAACTATTATTATGTTTTTGTTAATCATGGTTTTCGTTCGTTCTTCATGTTTATTGTTTATCGTTTAAATAAAACAGACTCCCTGAAGATGAAATGAGAGTGTCGAAACGCGTAGGAGGGACAAGGGAAAAATATAAGCATTTCGCCTTTTGCTCCATCGGCCGAAGCAGCTCCAACCTAGCAAACAATATTTTAATGTATGTTTTAGGAAAAGAAGTTAGCAATCAGTCGTTCTTGAACACGCTTTGCCGCTAAGATGGTGCATTTGTATTGACAGGATAATTATCTGTTGAGGTTGCTGGAATGACACTGTCGAGCTCAGATGTTTGCACACCCAAACGCATGTTGTGCAACACTGTGCACGCGTTAACAACTTTACCAGCAAATTTGGGATCGTAAAAGAGCACTCTTTGTTGCGATAAACATCGCCATGTTCCTTTAAGGACGCCAAAAAGTCTCTCAACTGGATTGCGAGCCTTGCAGAGCGCCTCATTATACCGAAATTTAGGTGTCGCCTCTGGTTGGTTTGGTAATGGCGTCATAAGCCACGGCTCCAATGGGTTTCCAGAATCACCTGCAGATATTTTTTGTAATATTGCATTATAAGATAAATTAAAATCAATTTACCGATCAAAAACATGTGATTGCCATTTTCAAAAGATCGCCGCATTACTCTTCTTATTGCACACGAGCTCCAAATGTATGAGTCGTGCCGAGCCCCCGGAAACCTGGCATTCACGTTCAAAATTTTCAAATTGGGATCACATATCTATAGCGAATATAGCAATAAAAAATATAACCAAATATATATTTTTAATTGATAAAACTGCTCTTACCATTTGCACGTTTATTGAGTGGTAGCCATGATGGTTGACGTAAGCCTCCTCATGATGTTTGGGGCCTAAAATCGGCACATGGGTGCAACTGATTGCCCCTATGGTGCCCCCAACAAATGGAGAAGGTGCACGTGCAAATATTTCTTTGGCGGCTTGGCGCTCAATCTGGGTCATTGGAAATTTAATTCTAGTAAAAAACAAATTACCGTTGATCGCATCTGTCACCCGGTGTATGCAACGGCTTATTGAGGACTGGCTCATGGAAATGCCCCACTGCTCTCCTACAGGGCGTTGGTAATAACCAGTTGCGTAAAAGCGTAAAGCAGACAGAACCTACCAAAATGAAAAGTAGTTTACTAAGGGCCGGTTACTCAATGTCTGGTTAACACTGATCTGCGGTTAAACATCCTTATCGACGTCTTCGACTCCATGCATACAACAGGGCGTCGTTAACGTCGATAACTATGTTTAACCGGAGATTGGTGTTAACCAGACATTGAGTAACCGGCCCTAAGTATATTATGTTGCAAACATCCTAAATATTGACTTACCTGTTTTTCACTAGGTTTAGCAGTTATCCTGGATCCTTTTAATTTGTTATCCAGCTGCACAACTACGTCATTGGCCACGTCGGGACTTAGCCGGAAAGGTTTCCGGTACTCCGAAGGTGCCAATTCGAAGGGATTGTCGACATCTCGGAGTGCACGTCGATCTGCTGGGTGTGCAGTTAACTCCGGTCCGTCCCGGAAAATATCATACACCAAATATTCAAGGGCCATGTCTTATTTTTTCCTATCAACACACTAGAATTTTTGTTTGCTATTTTATTTCCTTTTTTCTTAACCACACAAAATTTTATCAAGACAACTTCGAATCTTTAACGACAACAGCTGATTTTGCGATAGCGAATATTTTTGTGAAAAGGGTTACCGAATATCAAGAACGTTAAAAATATCGTTAAGCTGATATAGAGGAGCTAATATCGTTAAATCAGGTTAGTGAATCGCACTACAGGTATGGCTGCAAGGGGTAACCAGAATCACCTACAAATATTTTCATTGTCAGCAATGGTTTCATAGCCTTTTTAAGTTGTAAAACCTACCGAGTAGCCATGTGTTGGTTTTCCCATTGTTATGATCAGATTTTAGCTCCTGTTCTACGCGACTCACACTCCAAACAAATGAGTCATGATTCGCCCATATATGCCTAGCGTCAACAAATGTAATGACCATGTTGTGATCGCATATCTCTAAGGAAACTCAGTTTGTGTATATGCATACTTGTAAAGAAAGTAAATCATTAACCTACCGCCATTACTTTAAGACTGTAAAAACCCTTGCGGTTGAGGTATAGATAGATGGTGGTTGTCTCTTCCTGGCGACTTAATACGAACTTGTGTTCCATCAACATATTGGTATTCCGTACTTCTCAAAGAAATATAAGTGCGATTCATAAAACGTCGCAAAGTGGAATTTTTGACGAAATGCAATGTTGCGAACAAAGTTGTATGAACGACCTTTCGCGACTCTGGATCGCAAATGTAAAATTGAAAAAGTGCCGCACATCAGAGAAAAAGAAAAGTTTTTACAATTATATTTCGAAGGAGCCCTAATTGATATACTTTTTCTTGAAGTATTTGAAGACAATAAAAAAACATGTGTTTCACAACTTTGACTTTGCAATGATTGCCAGCTCAAATACTATGGCAAAGTCGCAATTTTGTCGCAAGACAAACAAAACTAATCAGCCGTATCGCAAGGGGGCAAATTTTGCGACAAATGCGACATTCGCAAGAGCCTTGCGACGTTTCATGCATCCCACTACTCTTTAACAGCATTTTTCTCCTCGATGTTTCTGCTAAAATTCACCCATTTGTGGCAAAGGTGGTTCTCAAAAATATTTAGGCATTCCCTGATCACGTTGGCTGCAGTTGACTGCCCCATCGACGAAATATTTTCGTCACCAACAGATTTTTGGTAACTGCCGGTGGCCGGAAATCTTAAAAAGTCGCGTGTTTCAGCTGGTCCGATAGGTGGGTGCTTTTGTGTGGTGGAGCCATGTGCACTTTTCATTCGTTTAATATGTATTGGAATTTTTCCTTATTGATTCGGAAATTTGTAACAAATCTAAAAGAGAATACATTGTAGCATACAGAAATTATTTGCTAATCTTGAACTTAGTCTACAGTAGTTCCATTACATTGGTGTGGTCTCGCAATCTCCTCCTCTGTATCCGCTTTTCCGTTTCTTTAGATTCCTCGGCGTCCATTAGCGCTATAGCAGCAAATATTTTTAAACATTAAATTTCTTTATATTATTTCCGAAACACAACCAAAACACTTTTAAGCAAAACCAAAATGTAAACAATTCCGATGGGGTCCATTTAAAATAAGAAGCATTGAAATAAGCTGAAAATATTATAAATCTAAGAAAATATCTTTGAAAGTACATACAAACTTCATTCGGCGACGTGACGATATCGCCTATAGACGAATCGTTTGTGTGGCCTATCGTTCGAGATACATAATAAGGCTGTAAGTTTTGTCTGATAGTAGGAGCGTTCCTTCCTTCCCAGAAATAGTCAGAAAAAGTCCGAAGTAGTCAGATTTAGTCCAAAAAGCGTTCCTTAAAAGCTGAAGCACAACACCGGCGAACGGCAAATTTTTCGTCGCGAATGTTCGCCGAAATAATTAAAACACACTGATTTATATGAGAACGCGCACAATCAAAGCAAACGACGAAGTTTGCTCGACGACTGTTCGCGACGATAGATTTATTTCTATCGCCGCGGTCAACGGCAACGACAAAAAAAGGCCATGATGACCATACTTTAAAAGCTATCGTAATTTTTGTTTAAAAGTAAAATAATATACCTTATATTTTTCTATCAGAGATTAATCTAGTAAAACGTAAGTTTACTAGTAGTTATATTTAAAGACTATTTCTATATTTTAAACTTCTTCTTGCTGGTATTTTCCCTCTTCGTGGTAAATGCTTCCTTCTTGAAACATGGTCACCTTATCAGCTGACAGCATTCGAACCGCTCGATACCGCTCTATTTGTGTTTCAGTAAGCGAATTAGCTGGGCGAAAGTTGGTCGTCGGCATCGCTCTGCTGGGCGAAATTTGCCGTTCGCCGGGTATTGTGTTTCAAGCATAACTCGGAAATGACAGCAAAAATGAAAGAGCAACACTCGGCGAAAGTGACTCTCCTCAGTCCGAAGTAGTCAGATTTAGTCAGAAGAATTTTTTCTGGCAATATCCTGAAAAGTGTCAAACTGAACTGAATTTAAATTAACGGAAATTAAAGAATACGCAAAAAGTGAGAATAATCTAAAAAGTAAAAAAAGTGAATTGAAATTGGAAGGAGGCAAAAAATAATTGATATAGTAAGTGTTTATTGTGCTTGTGCTTGTGTGAATGTGTTTTGTACATACATTTCCATTCTTATTTGACGTTAGCTTTGTTGTTGCCATTCTTTGGACTAAAAATTTGGTTTTTTGCGTTCCTTTACTTTTCCTGTTATTCTCTTTTAGTGAGCGCATTTTGCTTACGCTCTGGCATTTTGACACTTTTCAGGTTTTAATCCAAAAAGATAAGGAATGAACCTAGTGTTTCCCAAAAATGGTCAGCCAAACGAAATATTCGCAGCGTACACACATGTCGTCGCCTGGGAAAAGATTGTCGTAAGCGTCATACGTCGACCGCTGTGGTGTAGTGGTAAGCAGTACGCGCTTTCACTTACCAGCACCTGGGTTCAAGCCCTGGTCAAAGCAACATCGCAAAAATTTAGGAAAAGGTTTTTCTTAACAGCGGTCGTCCCTCGGCAGGCAATGGCAAACCACCGAGTGTATTTCTGCCATGAAAAACAGCTTCTCATAAAAATACAATCGCCGTTCGGAGTCGGCGTAAAACTGAGGGTCCCCCGCTTTGTGTGACAATATCAAGGCGCACGCCGCAAGTTTGAGGAGAAGCTTGGCCAAACACTAACATATGTGTAAGCGCCAATCTTTTATTATTATTCTCATACTAGTTCAAAACAGACAGAAAAATACTAGTTCAATTATGGACCAAAACCTATACTTTGGGAGTCAAAAAATAAAATGTATTCATGAATATACAATAAAAAACTTTTCATTAAGTACACTTTGCCTTAGATTTGCCAATAATTAGTGTTAAAATAAAAGCAAAAATAAATACATAAATATTTCAAACTTTCGAACATAAATTTTGATGCATTTTTCATTAAATGTTGTTAAAAGAAAAAGCTTTCAGGTACAATAAATACATGTTTTTCAACTTTTTTAATAATATTAAAAAATGCAAAAAAATACGTTTCAGTTAAAAATAAAATAAATACTTTAGTTCGAACTATCATCACGAATGATCATTTTCGACTAAACTTAAATAAAAATAAAAGTTTTCATTAAATTAAATTAAATTCATTAGCTTTGTACATTTCAGTCTTTTGTTTTATAGACTTTATAAAAGTAATAATTAACGCATAAAATTTGAGATTTGGATAAGAAGAAAATAAATAAATAATTCATGCAGTTATTAAATATTCTTATTTTTTGTGTATAGTTTTGCTTGTTGATTGATAATTGAAATTAATCAAATGATTATATTAATAGTGTAATTAAAAAAGCCCAAAATAATTGCAAATGATCAAAAATAACAAAATAATGATATAATTAAAATTAACGAATTAATAAAAAAAAATTTATTTATGTAATTAATGATTAATCATTAAAAATGTANGTTGATTGATAATTGAAATTAATCAAATGATTATATTAATAGTGTAATTAAAAAATCCCAAAATAATTGCAAATGATCAAAAATAACAAAATAATGATATAATTAAAATTAACGAATTAATAAAAAAAATTTTATTTATGTAATTAATGATTAATCATTAAAAATGTGCTAATATCGACATTGAACAACCGGCCCTTAATCATTAAACGGTTATCCAAAAAAACATGCTTTAATTAATAATCATTATGAATATTAATCATTATTTAACATGTATGGTATAATTGCGAGTACATACTCGCTTTAACGGTTTACAATATACACAAATAAAATTTGTAATAGGGTGCATTCCAAAACGTCAAAATACAAAGCATCAGTCTCTTTTATTACCGAACCGCACTAGAAGAAAAAGGCTAAC